GCTCAGTCGGTTAAGCGTCTGCCTTCGGCTCAGGTCATGATCTCAGGGTCCTGGGATCGAGTCCCACATCGGGCTCCCTGCTCAGTGGGGAGTCTGCTTCTCCCTCTCCCTCTGCTGCTGACCCCACTTGTGCTCACTCGCTCTCTCTCAAGTAAATAAATAAAATCTTTAAAAAAAAAAAAAAAACTGAGATAGGAGAGACCATATGTAGCTCGGGGTGGGGGTAAGATCTGGAGTTTGATGACAGACATGACAAGTTGAGACGACTAGTGAGTCTGTGGAGAGGCATTTAGATACCGGAGGCTGCAGTCGGGTAGCTCTGAGCTGATGACGTGACTGGGAGTCCTCAGCACAGAGACGGCATATCAGGCCATGGGACTGGATGAGGTCTGCAAGGGCTGAGCCTTGGGCACCTGAATCTGCAGGGGTCAGGGAGAAGAGGAGGAGGTCACACGGCGACTGAGGATGGGGGACCACAAGTAGAAGAGCCAAGAGAAGACAGATAGAAGGAATGTTTCCAGACAGGGGGAGTAGTTATCGACAAGGTGAAATACCATTGTAGGTCAAGTGAGCCACAGACCAAAAGGCCGTCAGTGAAAGGCTAAGTGACAAGGAAGTCACTTGGTGAGAGTCGCTCTGGTGGACTGTGGGGACAGAAGGCTGCTTGGAGCAAGGGGAAGAGGGAATGGAAGGCAGCCCGCAGACAGTGCGTGTAGAAGTTTTTATGGGGGGAGCAGAAAACTGAGGAGTAGCCAGAGGGCCACTAGCCCCAGGCCTCAGCCCCTGGGCCTATAAGAAATCCAGTGGTAGGCCGTTAGTAATGAAGAAAAAGACAAGGATGGAGGAGAGGGAGGCTGGAGTGATGCCCTGGAGCAGGGGAGGGCTGGAAGATTTCGTGCACCATGGAGGGCTTGGCCCGAGGCAGGAGCGCAGCAGGTCAGCTCTGGAAATGGTGGGGGAGCAGAGCCCACGGCCGAGACATGGCTAGATGGGCCGGGGTCCTGGGGGTGAATGTAAGTTTTCTTGTTTGCTTTACTTCAAGGTAAGGAGTTTTGGTTATTTGATTTTACCTTTCTGCCCTGAGATGATCGTGATAGAGAATTAGTGCACAAACACTAGAATTTTGGAGTAAAAATCTGGTGTTGAGAACGGAAGCACATACAGAACATGACAAGAACTTGTAATAGTCCCATAGGGAACATTTCCCAATGCTGTTGTGGGAATGTGACCGGTTCTGTCCAGACACCATGAACTGAAAGTTGAATTCTTATTTGTTTTTTATGAGAATCTGATGGAATATCAGGAGGTGTGTAATAAGGCACTGTTGGGGACGGGGGAAGGAAGGAAGGAGGGAAGGGAGGGAGGGAGGGAGGAAGGAAAAAGGTGGGAGGGAGGGAACAAAGGAGAGAAGAAAAGGAAAGAAAGAAAACGAAGAGCAGAGGGAGACTGATGTTCTTCTCCCTTTCTCTTCCAGAACTCTGGAGAAGATTGTGACACTGAAAGTGTTCATTACTCAGTTGAGCCTGGTGGTGTTTGATGACCTCACCCACCACAAAGTATCGTCTGAGCTCCTGAGACTCACACTGGACAGTGTCTTTCTGCACGTGGCCCCCATGGCCGGTGGCCTGCCCGGGGAAGAGGCTGCTGCGGCCCCCCTCCAGCTTCACTGTGTGGAGGTCTACTGTGGGGACCTGCAGGTGGACAACCAGCTGTACAACAAGTCCAATTTCCACTTTGCCGTCCTGGTCTGCCAGGGAGAAAAAACAGAACCCGTGCAGTGTTCCAAAATGCAGAGCCTCCTTGTATCCGGCAGAGATCTGGAGGAATACAAGGAGAACTGTTTTATCAAACTCTGCCTCACCCTAACTGACGGCAAGAGCGGCTTCTTCGAGGATATTAACGAGTTCCGCCTTGAAGTGAAACCCGCCCGGTTATACGTGGAAGATACGTTCGTTTACTACATCAAAACGCTGTTCGAGACCTACCTTCCCGACGGCTGCCTGGCCGCGCAGCCCGCCGGAGCCGCGGGGAGCACGCAGGGGTTGCCCGCGCAGGTCAGCCAGCACGCCAGGGCCCTGGTGCATCCCGTGAAGTTGCGGAAACTGGTGATCCAGCCAGTGAGTCTCCTCGTCAGCATCCACGCCTCCCTCAAGCTGTACATAGCGTCCGACCACACGCCGCTGTCCTTCTCGGTGTTTGAACGCGGCCCCATCTTCACCACGGCCAGGCAGCTGGTCCATGCCCTGGCGATGCACTATGCCGCGGGCGCGCTCTTCAGAGCAGGTGAGTCCGCACGCTGAGGGGCCCGGTGGGCTAGAGCCTGGGCCGGGAGGAACTGCCTCAGGGGCTGCTTATCAGCCTCAAGACCTAGGGGAGCAATATGGCGGGAGGGGAGGAGCGCGGGCTTTGCAGTTAGCACTGGATTGACATCCGCACTCTGCCACTGCGGGTAAGTCATTGAACCTCCCGAGTCTCCGTTTCCTCATGGATAAAATGGGTTTTAAGATCTCTGAGAGGATCAGATAAAAGCGCCTGGCTCTTAATAAACACTCAAGCAAATAGGAGCTTTGGTATTTGCTGTTATGGACCTTAGAATGTTAATTCCATGTAGCAGACGCTTTCTCGCAGCTCTCTGCAGGTACAAGGGTGTTAGCATGAAGTGCAGTCAGGAAAACTAGCCCCGGGCCTCAGCCCCCGGGGCCTAAAAGAAATCCAGTGGTAGCTCGTTAGCTTCCTTCATTACAGTCCATGAATAGCTGTAGGTGAGAAATTCAGAGGATTTGTGTGCTCGTAAGATGCATAAAGAGCCTTCTACCTATCCAGTGTGGCCTGGCCTGTCTAGACAGCAAAAAGAAAGTGGTTGGAGTCTCAGCTTCTCCAAAGACCTGAGATAGAATAGAAAAGTCTGCGGGAGGTGGTTTGAATATGTGTACAGCAGGTCCGATGGTGAGTACTGTGCTAACGGTGGAGTGGAGCGCAGGGAATGGAGTGGTCTCAGAATGTTCTATGGTAACGGGCATCGAAACACACGTTCCTCGCCTAAATTCACTCCAACACGGTTTCAGTGTGATTATCCAGCCCCTTATGTGCCCATGAATTCAAGCAACAAACACCAACCAGAGTTGGTCTTGTGGGTTCTTTCTAGCAGAGAACGTGACAGTCTTCCTTTCCGAGGGTAACACAGGAAAGAACATTTATACCGTTGTACTTGGTGAAAGCATTCCCATACAAGCTAACATTGTAGCAGTAAATGACCCCTGTTGTTGCCAAACTGGTGAGATTACATTCTCTCCATAATGAAATTCATAGAGTTAATGAGGTTACCCAGAAGTCTTAACTGAAAATGACAAGATCAGGGGAGGGCCCTGCTGGGACTATTGTTTTGATAGCTTGCACAACGATGAAGAAAATATTTCTCTCTTGCTAAGAAATCATTTAAAAATAAGCAGTTAACATTTCAATTTTAATAGATGGGTATATTTATAAACAATTCCAGAAACTTAACCTTTCAGGAAGTTTTTGCTTTTAACATGAGAAGCAGGCACATAAGTTCCTGGGCTCCAATCTGGGGCCTGGGAAGGACTAAGCCTCCCGCCAGGCCACCACATAAATGCTGAGGTGTGGGGGGCACCCATGTAGGTAATGAGCTGGCAGAGAAACTCCCAACTGTGGCCCCAAGGAGCCATGTCCCTGCAGCCTGTGTGCTAAAAACGCTCTCTCTGTTTTGTTTTTTGGTCTTAATGAGCTTTCACAAGAACATTCTGTTTGGATTTTTTGTAATCCACCTAAAAATCCTCTAAGCTGTTGTCCCAACCTCGTTATACGCTGGGACAAGAAATTCTAATATAGAGGGCCAAGTTTTTAGAGCCTGTTGGGAATTTTGTCACTAAAAGCCTACAGACAAAATGGGAAGATGGTAGGAGGTTACGGACGCCCCAGTAGAAGAGCATTCAAGAGAATGTACTAGCAGTCTTTTAGAGGAAGGGGGAGGGTTGGCCTGGGGATGAGCAAGTTGCATCTGTATTGCACGTGGGGCAGGATTCACCCATTGAACTTGACTAGAAGGTTCCTGCCCGGGATGGTCGAAATACCCTGACCTCATTTCTAGGGAAGTTTGTGGATTCACCTTGAAAAGGTTTTAAAAATAAACAGTAATTAGAAATGAGTAGCCTTATTCGAAGGAAAGCATGTGGGCTTTCTAATTTCCTGGGGCCCCTCTACACCCAAGTCTCAATTTGATGGGAAGTCAGACAGACACTCTTTTTCAACAAAATTTCCAAACAAATAAGCAAAAGATGTATTTGCTTTTGAAGGAAAATAAAGAAGGCATGCCCTCGGATACTTACTGCCCTTTTCTGGCTAGCTCAGATGCCGCTGAGAAGTAGCTCGGGTGCATACATAGCCCTCCCGTCATGCAGTGCTCCTGGTCCAGGAGACCGCACCCCGCCTTCCAGTGGCCGGGAGGCGGGGGCAGACGGTGAGGCTGGGCGGTGTCCCTTCATGCTGGGCCCCGCTACACTAGTCTGTGTAGATGGGCTTTGCTCGGCAATAGCTCCCTCTCCTTTGCTTATCTGTGTGTAAAATCTGTGGAGAGAAGGAGAATTAAGATGTTTCTAAACCAATTTGCTGCCTGCAGGCAGAGCCTTATAACTATTCCAGGCCAAAGGGAATCTGCTGTTTCTTTACCTACAGAGAGAGCCCTCCAAGGAACCATATTCCACAGCCTTCCATGCTACCCTGCCTCCTCGCTGCAGCCTGGGCTCACAGAGGGTGGGTGGGCGGGGTGGGAGACCCAGCCCCCACGTCTAAGCAGCGGGAGATGGTGAACAGTTGAGCCACACTTGCCCCCTTGTCCTGCCTGGAAGTAGAAGTGGAGACGGGTTAGCACCATGTCAAATTCGCCTCAGTCCCCTCTGCCTGCTATCCCTGACCCCAGGGGGAGGCCCAGTCATTAGCCCCTCTGAATTTATGTAAATTAGGGAGGTAAGAGTACTTGCACAGTTGCTGGGTGCATTAAATAAGCTGAATGTCTTGTACCCAGAAGCTGGCCCTTTATAGTCCTTGTCTCTGGCAATGACTCCCTAGTGTTACCCTCGTGCTGTTCCAGGCAAGAGGAGTGGGCTCCAAATTTAAGACTGTCCCCCCTCTATGGGGCTGGGCCTAGAAATGGGCAGGGCTCTGCCTTGCTTCTTGCAGCCACATCTTCCTGAGCCTCTGGGATCAGTGACTTGACTGAGAGTCTGCCCCAGGTTTGTCCTCCACGAATCTGCTGCTGAGGCAGGATTGGCTCCCCCATGAGTCCTGGCCCCACAGCCGCCCCATGAGAGCGCTCTCAGCCCCAGGCTGGGGGGGGTCCGTGGTTCCCGGAGGAAGTTGCCGGTCTAGAACCCTGCGCTTAGCCCTCGGGCTTGCCTGCACCTCCGGCAGCCCCCCCCCAACCCAGACGAGCACGCCGAGCCCCCTCCCAGGGGAGGAAGGTGAAGGGAAGGCACTGCTGGAGTTCACACCATAGCCACATTCCCACGAGGCAGCAGACACCACAATCAGGCCACTGAGCAGGCCAGCCCCTGGCAAGTCGTCGTCGTCCACCCCCCCAGCCCCCCCACCCCTGCTCGAATGGGAAACCAGATCCAAAGCTCCCCTCCCGGGACACTGGAAGGGAACACTCCCCTCTCGCTAACCTAATCAGTATGTCCGTGTCACCGATGTTTACACAACTGAAGCTGGGGTTGAAGGGGAGACGTTTGTCTGGCTCCAGCTCTGCTCCAAAGGGAAGAACTCAGCTTGGTAGGATTGGGAAAGATTAAAAATAACTCCTCCATCCTTGTCAGAACTTTGCATCTCCTTTGTGACACCCCATTTAGCATCTGGCCTTCCCCCCCCGCCGCCCCGCCCCCATGCCTCCGCTGCCCTGAGGTGGTTTTAAAGATAACTTCCCAGCCTGCAAACACACCTGCACCCTAAGAGACCGCCTTTCCTTGGGGTGGGGGGGCAGGGAGTGTGCGTCGCCTTGCACACAGGTCCCTTTTAGCAGGAGTATGGGAGGCTCGGGCAAGAAAGTCAGAGTAAAGCTGTTTGCGAGGCTGCCAAAAGGATCACTTTGATTTATAAAGTATGAAAGTTTGCCATTTATGAATTCACAGTGAATGAGTTATTTCCCATATTTTGCTCCAGAGGAGCTTATTACATTCTCAATTCCAGTGTGAAAAATGAATTGCAGGGAAAATGGGTCACTTTTCCCAAATGTTGAAAGTGCTGTATTTAAGGTTTCAGTAACCCCTTCCCTTTGGTCCCTCACAGGCTGGGTGGTTGGATCTCTGGAAATCCTCGGCAGCCCCGCGAGTTTGGTGCGAAGCATCGGGAGCGGAATCGCCGACTTCTTTAGGCTTCCGTACGAGGGGCTGACCAGAGGCCCTGGAGCCTTTGTGAGTGGAGTTTCCAGAGGGACGACATCCTTTGTAAAGCACATTTCCAAAGGTAGCTGTTTGGGTTCCTTTTCATAATGCCTCCTTTTCATTCCTTCCCTTATTTTTTATTTTTGAAGAACGCGTTGAAGTTTTCGGTGCGCGAAGTGTGCCTCTACCCTTGTTGGGCCTGGTAGGTTGCAGTGAAATGCTGGATTTGTAACAGAGCTCCCACAGAATGTCTTATGTTTTAAACAGATCCCTATTTGCCTGCAGTGTGTGAAAATGTTTCAGAAACTTCAGAATTTTAAACCTCCCATTGGGAAAACAAGGATTGGCTCAACTGTTATTCCATGTGATAAATACAGAAATATTAAAGGTGTGCAGGACTTCTGCTAAACATCAGAAACCCTACACTGTGTTGCCTCATCATTTTTTTTTTTTTTTAATGTAGATACAGTTGTCATAACTTCTGGAAGGATATGGATACATTTTGACATGGAAGCGACCTTGGAGGTAGAACAGCCAGCTCCCGGCTAGCAGGCCACGGCAACAGTGCCATCTTGTGGCCCAGACGGTCCGTCAGGCACGGAAGCCACACTGCTGCCCACATGAAGGGGCATGTTTTCGTTTTATCTGTGTGTGCTTGACGATATTTTGGTCAGGTTGGCAGTGACTCGGGAACTAACAAGGGCCATCTGAGTCCCCTTTTCTTCTCAGCAGGAGGCAGGGAAAATAGGGCAAAGGGCTTCTCCCCCATAAAAGGCTTTTTAATGTCAACAGCGCTGCAACTCTGTGATGAGTGGGCAGGTTATAGAAGTCTCTGGAAGGCTCGAAAGAAGAGGACCTTGAAATATGAGCACCCATCCTCTGTAGAGGGGGGCTGGCAGGAAAACGCAAGAGCATAAGCCGAGTTGTGTAGACAAGGACAGGCCCACTCCCCCAAGCCCCAGCCGTCCGGGAGGCCTGCGAGCTGAGAGCCGAAGGAACTCATGGATGAGTCACTGGTGGATTTCTCACTCCTGACACTCGAATCTTTGTGGTTCTGTTGTTTTTATTTTCAAATAAGACACCCAACACCTGTTAAATTGAACCCCATGGTAATTTTAGCATAGTGACTCACTGAATGTTTTTTTACACTTGTTCTCTCCTTCTCTTAGCAAAAATCTGTTTCGTTTTTTGGTGTCTGTGGGTACGCATGGACTTTTTCTTTTTAGATTGCTGGTAAAGATGCAGCTGCAAAAATGCCGTCTTCTGTGTTTTCTTGGAACTAGGTGTCCACTACCGGAGGAGTTCATTGGTCAGTTTCAGGATCTGTCCATTGATGTCTTTCAGTCTTGCTTCACTGAGATCTCTGCAGACTTGCTAGAGGGGTTGGGGACTGTTTTGAGCAAGATGCTGAGATAGCCTTTCTTAGGAAAACCAGACAAAATCATGGCTTTCACATGATTTATTCCCTCACTTTTTTCAGCTCACATCCTGAGAATCAAAACTGCACGTCTTGGGGCGCCTGGGTGGCTCAGTCGTTAGGCGTCTGCCTTCGGCTCGGGTCGTGATCCCGGGGTCCTGGGATCGAGTCCCGCATGGGGCCCCTGCTCGGCGGGAAACCTGCTTCTCCCTCTCCCACTCCCCCTGCTTGTGTTCCCTCTCTCGCTGTGTCTCTCTGTGTCAAATAAATAAATAAAATCTAAAAAAAAAAAAAAACCTCCACGTCTTGACTGTGGCCCAATCATTAGTTCCTCAGAATGTCAAATGATAAAGTTTAGTGTTGCCCTTGGCTCTAAGGAGGGAATACATTTTATTCCTAAGTAGAAATGTTTCTTTACAGTAACCTTAACCTTTAAAATCAAAACAAAATTTAACCTTCAACACTGGGCCTCAAGGAGGAGTTCAAAACTCTGTTAGCCAAGACTTGAGGATCCCACGAGAGTGGATGGTAGTTTCGTCAAACTCCGGGCATTTTTCTGGCAACAGAGATTCTCGTCCTACCCCTTTTGAGGTGTGCCATCACCCTTATAAGCAAGTGTTGTTAATCTTTGCCTCGTTTTTTTAAAGATTTAAGTTTTAGTAACCTCTACACCCAACCTGGGGCTCAAACTCACAACCCCGAGATCAAGAGCCGCATGCTCCACCGAGTGCGCCAGCCAGGCGCGCCTTCACCTCATTTCCTGAAGGCTGTTGCTTCAGGGGCCCAGAGGAAGCCCCCATCACTAACCGCCTGGGCATGTCCAGGAGGCACAGATGTGCTTTCACTGCCCCCCCTCCCCGGGGACCACTCGCGGGGGCTCCACGGGATAGGCGACCAGAAGGCCAACCCATGTGCTCTTGTGCCCTCAGGTACCCTCACCTCCATCACCAACCTGGCCACAAGCCTGGCGCGGAACATGGACCGCCTCTCGCTAGACGAGGAGCACTACAACCGGCAGGAGGAGTGGCGGCGGCAGCTCCCCGAGAGCCTGGGCGAGGGGCTCCGGCAGGGCCTGTCCCGGCTGGGCATCAGCCTGCTCGGTAAGGGGCTGTGGGGGACCCGCGCTGGATGGGTTGGGGGGTGAGTTGTGAAGTTTACATCCTTTCTGCAGACAAGGCTGAGGCCCGGGTGCGGGGGGGCGCGGTGAGGCGCTCACTCTGCTTCCCACCCTGCATCCGTGAGGCGCTGGCACGGGGCCTCCAGCCCAGAGCCCTTACGCAGCTGTGAGGGGCCATCGCAGGCCCTGCCCGGTGGGGGGCCCACTTGCACAAATGCCCACGCCCCGCCCTCCCTTGCGTCCGGTATAAACCCCATCCGCCCTCAGGGTGGCTCCCCGAGAGAGCGTCGTGAGGCGCCCTGCGCGTGGGGGCGTCTACACAAGGACAGCAGCCCAGGCCGTTCACTGCTGAAAGTGAGCAACGGGCCGGCCTTCTGAGGCCCCGTCTCCTGCCCAGCCAGATACTGCGGACGCTCGCCTTTGTTTGAGAAGCGCTTGGGCAACGTGCAAATGTCATGTAAACTTCAGTGAGGAGCCCACTTTCGCCTTCTATTTTTCCAAGAGTGCCGGCTCAGCCTGACTCAGAGTAATTACCGTTTGTCAAGCAGCCAGATGGTATAGTCAGAAGGGAAGATTGCTGTGGATATTTCCAAATACTACAAATGTTCGAAAAATAAGTTGCTTTGGAAAACTCTATAAAAAGGAAGCTTCAGAGCTGAGATTTTGCAGAGCAGGATTTTCAAGGGTATCTTTTGTTTATTTGTTTGCAAAGGAATTTAAAACTGTATTGCTTGGCAGCCGGCCTGCCGCGCATCGCATCGGAAGAAGCGCGCATCTCCCAGAGATCAAAGTGCCCCGAAGCAGGGAGAGCAGAGGTCAGAAAAGATGAGCTTGAAAGGATTTGTCCTCTCTCCAGTGTGCAGTTCTAGCCACAGCCCTCAACTCACAGCACAGCCAGCTGAGGCTCTGGGAGGAAGTAGTAAGATGTTACAAGGTCAGGTTAAGTTACTAGAAATTGTTTTAAGTCATAACATTCTGTGGTGATGCATGGAAACTGGGAGCTTATGACCTGGGATGGAACTGCAGGGTAAAGGAGGGCTCCAGAAGGCCAGGGGATGGCGTGGGAGTGGACCACATTCCAGAGGAGCCAGCAGACCCAGGCTAGGGTGTCCAGGTCCTTTTTTTGTGCCCTCAGGTATGTTCTTACGTTCTCTAAACCTGGGTTTCTCCTTTGTAAATTGGGGCTGGTAGTAACATTATGAGAGGTAATAGTAGAGGTCCGCCATGGGCCAGGCATAGGGTCTGTGTTTGGTAAACAGCACCGCTCATGCCGTGCCCTCTACTCCGGGCAGAAGAGCTTCCATCCCTCCATGCAAGCTCCTTTTGGAGTTGACAGGTGCTCAGCAGAGGAGACCTGAGCTGGCTGGCCTGTGGCCATGTCCATTCCAACCAGTCTGTTCTCTTCCCACCCACAGACACCCCCACCCACCACCCGGTCGTCACTGTATAAACTTGTGCCTGAGGGTAGAAATCATCCATTACAGGAGGAGCCATGATCCTCCCTTTGTGGTGTCACACTTTTTAATATGGCGCCTGTTGTTGACCAGGCTGGAAAGTCCTAAAACTTTGATCTCTGCCGTAGTCACGTCTCATACATCCTCATCCATGCAAGGGAGTCATTTCGTCTGTCTGCAGAACCTCAGTGGGCTCGCAGTCTTTCTGCCATTCTGGTCATCTCCAAAAACTCAGGAGTTCTGTTGGTGACATAAATCCCTCCTGTGTGTGCAGTGACCTCACCCGCAACCTGTGGCCTGAGCCCGGGCCCCCAGGAGCGCGGCCTCCAGCAGCGCGCCCTGAGCTGCGTGCCCGCTGCTGTGCTCCTCAGACGGGTTAGGTCGCAGTGGGCGTCTCAGAGCTGGCTCCAGCCAGCTTCCTTCCCTCTCGGAACGCTCTGTGTCCCACTTTATCCCTGGCTCATCTCAAAACGTCCCGTCGCGGAACTACTTGATGTGTGGCAGGAAGACGAGAGGAGGAGCAGGACCAATCAAGTCCCCTCACTTGGGAAAGCCTACGTTTATCACCGTTTAATTTATCCCCAGAAATGGTGTTTAAAACCACTAAATGCAATTAAGTGTCTGAATGACGTTAGTGCTATTATCCTATTGTTTGAAACCCATGTTCAGTGAAATCAAAATATTACTTCCTCAGTTTCTTCCTCTATGAGAAACACTAACAACCCAGGTAGTAAAAATGTATTTAGAGAACACTTGAGCGTTGACAGAGCGTTTTCATGTGTGTCATCTTATTTGATCTACAAACCCAGGCATGGATGTGAGGTGAAGTGACTTGCCCAGGTCAGACCTCCACCAGGACAAGAGCCTGGGCCTTTCCTCCTGTCACGCACCCTGGAGGGCTCCCAGCCTGGAAACAATCAGGCTGTGGGGAGACTGAACAATTCAAAGTTCCAGGGTAGGAAAAACACATTTCCCCCAAATGTTTATGGGTCTGGTGGGCCTTCTTGCCTCTGTTTTGCCCTCATGGGGACACCGTGGAGTGTTAGGAGGTACTCGAAAAATCAAAGGGAGTCTTTAGCTGCCCTGCCCAGCCACATCGCCTCAAGTCAGCAAGGAAGTGTCGGCTGGCCGAGGCTCTTGGATGAGCCTCCCCCACAGTTTTGAGCAAACAGTGGCTCTGGGGAACATTCTGTTTAGCCTGCAAACTTGGTAATAAGGTTTTGCCACATTTACCAGATCCGTTCCCCAGACACCCCCTTTCCTCCCGCACCCTGGAGTCTGTGCTGAGCGAGGATGGGAGCTCCGTGCCACTGTCGTACTCCATGTTCCCTCCCCAGACGTGACTTCTCTGTCACGAATACCACAGGCAGGATATCCGAGCTCACCTCCCTGATCCCCTTCTTTCTGGGCCGCTGCCTGATGGGTGAAGCAGTGCTAGGCTCCCCAGCAGCCACACCCTCCGTCTCCACGGCCACTCTTGGTAATGCCACGTGGAATCCCAACAAATTAGGCCTCTACCAGGTGCATCAGGACGTTTTCCCTGGAGTGAGGGAGGGAGCGAGCGAGCCATGCACCGCAGACTGGCTGCGGCTAGTGGGGGGGTTAGGAATAACAGAAATGCTTCCTTCTCAGTGAATTAATCTGTTCTGGTCGAAAAAGGCTAGCCTCAAGGTGGGATACTTAATATACTCTGTGGGTAGGTCTCGCTGGTCTCTGAAGTGGTGAGCTGTAGTATCCTGGCTTAGGCCTGTGCCTCCGCTGTCGTGATTTAAGAAAAAAAAAAAAAGTGTCCAAAATAAAATTACAGTGTGTGGTGAGGGCAGCACCAAAGTAGCCACAGAGGAACCTTCATAGGTCGGTAAGCCAGTGTTTTCTGCCCGAGGCTGGGGAGCTAGTCACGGAAGAGGTGAGGGAGGGCCCTTCCGGTTCCCTTGCCCAACAAAGAAAGCCCTCCTCCTCCAACTAGAGGGGAGCGAGGGAAGTACCCCCCAATTTCTGCCTCGCCCAGCGCGCTGAGTCCACGGAAACTCCCCTCCGTCCAGGCGCGCTCCCTTCCTCTCTCCCTTCATCACATCACAGCCGTCTCCATGTGGCCGCCCACCCTGTGGGCCGGATGCCAAGAGACAAGTTTGGGAATCAGTTCCCACCACTTAGAAGAGCCTCAGAGCAGAGCTCGAGTACATGACAGTAAATAATTTACCGGTTGTGGGATTTAGCTGGATTAGACTTAACAAGAGAGCCTTCTGAAGCCCTACGAGAACCTGCCTCTCTCCAGGCACGGCTGCTGGTCTCTCACGGCCTCTCTGGTCTCCAGCTCGCACCTGGTGACCAGTGAGGTGTTGGTGTGTGTGACAGGCTTTCCCCCTGCGGGGTCTGGTGCTGGGCGAGGGCATGTGATCTGATAGCTCCTTCTCTACCTCTCAGAATCTGACACCTTGTCATGAGGCTCAGATTTTCCACTCTCTGGGCTGCCCAAATAGTTTATCTAGCAAAGCCGCAGTAACTGAGCCTTCAGTGTGGCCGGTGGCTGGAGAAAGTAGAAGATCAAAGGGGAGTTTCACTGTGATACCTGTTTGCGCTTGGGTAGCAGTTAGAAGTTAGAGCCCGGTGTGGGCACTCATGGTTATCAAGGCTCCATGTTCCTTGTACGGGGTAGCCCTGGCACATTAAAGGGACGTGGGAGAGTCTCAGTGAAGTAACCACCTGCCCCCCGACTCAATTTTAATAGTCTTAATGGAGATCTGCACTTGAGAAAAGGCCTTTCTTAAATAATTTAATCTGTTGGTGAATTTGTAATTATTTACCTCGCTTTTCCTACGAACTTAAGCATGGAGACCTTTCAAAGAAATCAGATAATGACGTCACAAAAGCTGTGTTCTCTGATTCGAAGTTGTTCACTTTGAACTCTGCCGTGAGATGATTCAAAGAGCAGACCCCCTGGCTCTTGCCTGCGCTGTGTGGCCACCACCCGCATTACACTTCCCAGCTGCTCTGCCTCCTGACCTCGTGGACGGACAGCAGGGTCCTCCGACTCAAACAGGAGGCGAGCCCCCAGCCCGAGTGCCAGGATGGGGTGTGTTGAGGGCCCTGAAGCAGTGATCCCTCAGCCCTCCACAGCCAGGGTGGCTGGGGCCAGCTTCCTCTGCCTCCCCAGTCAGTCCTTTAGAACCTTTGGGAAGCGTTGGTCTAGGCTGAGAAACAGACCTGTCGCCTCGGGTCATTCTTAATCTGCCAATACATAAATTTAAATGGCTCTGTCCAAATTCTGAGGAACGGAATCTATGAAGAACATTCCCTTTACAATTGACCTGAAGGAACCGGCCTTGGTTTTACTGGATTTTGTTCAGGGGAATATTACTTGAAATTAGCAGGTCATTAACGGAGACCTGGAAATCTCCATTTACCCAAGGGACTTTGAATTAGTGGCATTTGGCATAATGGGATTTGACATGTACTAAAATTTCTACCAGGGGGACTGTGCATTTTCCATTAATCCTAGCAGGTTTGACTTGAAAACAGAAAATTCTGTCAAGAACTGTAATGAAATTTTTACCGCTTACTGAGCTAGAGAATCTTCCACTCCATCGCTGAAAGAAAAAAAAAAAAAAATCGGCACTGGCCAGGCCTTTACTAGATATCCTCACGGGCCCCTCGGAGTAAGGGGAGTAAGGAGGAGGGACCCGCAGGAGGCTGAGGGACTCCCCCGCCAGCTTGGTACCTGACCCGGCTGCCCTCCGGGAAAACCATTAGAGCGGAGTAGTGAGAGCAGAGTTTTGTAGCTGTTCTCAAGTGAAGAGTAAGTAGCCAAACCTCAATTGAAATGCGAAGGAAGCAAGTGTTTCTAAGACTGGCAAAAGGAAGAGCCTGTCTTAGAAACAGGATCAGTGAATAGCTTGGTGGTGAAGAGCTGGGCTGGGACTCTGCCTCTCTAGACTCAAATCCTGGCTCAAGCACAAGACAGCTGTGTGACCTTGGGGCAAAACTCCTTAACCTCTCTGTGCTCACCGGCCTTATCTAGGAGCTAAGGATAAAAACCAGGTCTGACTCCTAGGATTATGAGGATTAATGGTATCATACAAGTAACACTCTAGATATAGTCCCCAGCACATAGTAAGCACTCAAAATAGATTAGCTGTTATAAAAATAATTGCATTATCAACAATTACTTTTATACATTAATATATTAAGATTATTAAAGAATTGTTCCTATCATTATTAAAAGGGAGAACAGGGAAAGGGGATGGCATGGCCTCTTCCAGTTTCTTCATGCTCCTAATTTGGTGAAAATTGATTAGGCTGAGCAAGCTTGCCCCCTCCTGAGCAATTGTTAGCTCTCTTCCCTAAACCGTGTTGCGTGGTTTCTGCACAAAGGCATGTGAGTGTCACTTTGGAATAGTCTGACACGTTTATTAAATTCTGAACTGAACTTCACAGATCCTCACTGTGATGGACCAAACCCAGTCTGAACATTGTGTTTTGATGAAGATCATAAATGTCTTAGTGCCCAGTGAACTTACGTAATAGGTAAATAAATGTAGAGTAAAGAACTTTATAATGAGGGTAGGTTTGCATTTTCAATCCAAATAAAACTGTTCTGGATTGACAGTTTTCACCTTCTCAGGATTTTAAGCCTCAGGCCTCACGAGGGGCTTTTGCTGTTTTTCAGGTGCAATTGCCGGCATAGTCGATCAGCCCATGCAGAACTTCCAGAGAACATCGGAGGCTCATGCTTCAGCAGGACACAAGGCCAAGGGTGTCATCTCAGGCGTGGGGAAAGGAATCATGGGGGTGTTCACAAAGCCCATCGGAGGGGCCGCTGAGCTCGTGTCACAGACTGGCTATGGTAAGTCTCGGGGCACCTGCCAGGCCGGCTCAGACATTACCGACTAACGTGCGTTATTATACCAAGGACTCCAAGATAATCTAGGCCTTCACATGGCAAAGCAGTGAAAAATAAAATGGATAAATCTATAAAAAGATAAATAGCTTTCTTTCTCATCTCCTTATGCTTATTTATGGAAAGAGTAGACTCGTACTACTAATAATTATAATAATTATAGACCCAAGAAACCAATTAGCAACTTCACTAGCTTTATCTCACAGAATCTTTTTACAGTTCGTCTAATAAAATAGACTTTAATTAAAGATCACTTCTCGGCCTTTTGGCTAAGATCAAGTGTAAAATAGACTTAATGAGAAGTAACGAGTTAGAGACAATTGAGAGCAATATGTAGAAAATACTGAAGCAGAGAACAGGATTACTACTTTGGTGACCAGTTGGAAAGGAGAAATAGGTTACAAGGCAGGAAGATGTCTGTGACGTGTGTGTATTTGGAGAATGAGAAAGAGGAGCGTGCACGCCGACGCCCACAGAGCCTCGAGTTTGCAGACTCGGTGCTGTCGCCCCTGAGCCGAGTTCCGGGCCACCGGCAGCAAAGGCCCATGATCTACAACTGAGACCCCTTCCCCAAGCAGACAGCTGGGCCGGTGGCACCCCCGGGACTGGACGGTGGTGTGCTGGGGCCTCTCCCGCACTCGCGCGTGCCCTCGGGGGTGCCGGGGGCGTATGAAAGCAAGCACCTCCTCCCATGCTTCTTTTCCGCCTTCTTGGCAGACAGAGCACGCTTAAGTGACTTCATAGACCGGTGACTCGGATTGTTACCTTTTTACCTAAAATCGGCGTCCTCGCTTTGGTCAGGAAGCGGGCTGCCTAGCTACCATCACAGGCTACGGGCGGGCTCCCGCCTTTGTCAGACAGGCGAGCAGTCTGCATCTGGCCGTAAAGCCTGAGGGGTCCGTCTCACCGCAGGCATCCCGCCCCTCGGGATAGCTGACAAGAGGCGGCCAGATCAGGGCATAAAAACTGTGTCTGAAAGGGAGAGAGTGGGGGACGAATGCCCACACTCAGGCAGCCATCCGGAGGGTTCCTCTGAGAGACCACACAGACGCAAACATGTGTTCCTCTTCGCTTTCCCCCCTCGCCGCCTCCCTCCCCATTTCTCTCCAGCTCTCCTTCTGTGAATGACGTTTTCACTCACAGGGAAGCGGACAAACAGAACCACTGCCCCCCCGTCAGTGGGCCCAGGCCAGCTCCCCCTTATCAAAGGCGTACGCACCCATAAAAACAGTATTCCTGTTGCCGTAGACCCAGTGGGGTGAAGTCCACCCAGACTTACTTCATGCATCGAGACCTTTGGTGTTGAGAATGCCATTGTCCTCACCTCGCCTTTCCCAGGGCTGAGGATCTCCCCCTCAGGGAGGAGCATCTCAGAACAGAGCTTCACATGGCCGTGTTGCTTTCCATCATTCTTGTAAAACTTTTATTACTGCACTGAAGGTTTTACAAACCACTAACTCTTAGTCTAATGACTGTGCCTCGTTCATAAACATTTACGAGCCCTCAGAAAGCACACATGCGGTACCATCTTTGGTTCTGGAGAGTCTCCTTAGAGGCCTGCATGACCGCTGCTGGGTGCCCGCGTTCGGTGAAGCACCGGGGAGAGCGTGTAATAAACCCCAAGAGTGCTCATAAATGTATGTGGCTTCATGTTTAACAGCTGGCTTAAGTCACTTAAATACTGTATCTAGGCAAACCATGTGCCTTTGTGTGCATCTCTCTGTGTGTTGTTTTTTATGCGCCCAGCCACAGCACAGATACACAAGTATTGTAACATGAAGCAAGGAAGTCAACTAACAATCATGACTTTTTTTTATCACAGAAATTGTAACAGTGTGGGAGCTATTGCTCAGGACTGATTACTTCCAGGAGCATTATGCTTCCATTAATTGCCAGTCCAGTCGATGCTTGGACTGTAGTTCATTCACTTTGCAGTTTGCAGCTAACGTAAGATCACCAGAGTTAAGAGCATTGCAGTGTTTGGTGATTATCTGTACACTTGCTTCCAAGGATTTGACATCATTTTGGATCCTACTGTAGCGCTTTATGGATGGCTGTAACAGATGACATCACTGCAGCATGGAACTGGTTTCCAGAAAACAACTAGTAAAACTCCCTTACTTCTCTTACCACAGGTATTTTACACGGAGCTGGACTTTCTCAGCTTCCCAAACAGCGCTATCAGCCAAGTGATCTACATGCTGACCAGGCTCCCAATAGCCACGTCAAATATGTCTGGTAAAATTATCTATAGACACCCGTTCAACTGCACATGGTTGTTAAGGGGCCTGCTTTGCTCTCAAGCTAACGGGTCCTGCTTCCAGGGGAGCCCAAGACGGCGTTCGGCAGCTCAGGCAGCACAGGGGCGTCCTCGGGCCCGGCAGAGGCTGCCGTCCCCAGACGTGGGGCTGGCCACAGAACTCCCGGCCTCTCGCACACCACTCGGGAGGCTGCACACTGAGGAGCCCACGCCGTGTGAGGGGACCGGGGATTCCCTAGAGAACCAGCCTTCTCGTGGGTGGGTTGGGGGGGTGGGCGTTTCTATTGGGAAGAAAAGGAGCCAAGGGAAATCTTTGTCGCCAGGAGGAGCTGGGTTCCGTTAACCAGAATCAGTTTGAGAATTAAAGTGACAATTATATTTCAAGCTAAAATTAATAATCAGCTTGGTGAGAGCCCTTTGCCTTTGGGGAACCGGTGTGAGAATGGCCCAGCCCTTGGTACAGTGAGTACTGGTATATGACCATCTTTTCCAAACTGACTTCTCGCCTCACTTTTCTCCTTTGAAACAGGAAAATGCTTCAGTCTCTGGGCAGACCAGAAGTGCACATGGCCCTGGATGTAGTTCTGGTGAGGGGCTCAGGCCAGGAGCACGAAGGGTGCTTGCTGCTGACCTCGGAAGTGCTCTTTGTGGTGAGCGTCAGCGAGGACACACAGCAGCAGGCCTTCCCCATCACAGAGATCGACTGTGCCCAGGACAGCAAGCAAAGCAACCTGCTCACCGTGCAGCTCAAGCAGCCAAGAGTGGCCTGTGATGTGGAGGTACATTTCCGAGAACTGTGTGACTGTGTGGCCAACTGCCGGGGAATTTGAGCTGCGGGCTGAGCGCTGGCAAGCAGGCGTATGAGCCTGCAGCCTCTGGCGTGGCTGCTGGGGAGTAGGAGGGCTGTCCGAGGAAGCAGCGTGAAGGGGGCATGGGAGCCAACGCAGGACGTTGGGAAGCCCCAACCCGGGTGAGTGTGGGAGCCTTTCATAGGGGAGCCCAGCAGTAGGCCAGATGGGCTCAAGGCTGGGGTTGAGCTACTGTATGAGTTGAACAAGGCTTGGTTGTCATGGGGCAGGGGCGCTGGAGTAGACAGGCCAACGGAGCTCCAGCACCAACAGGTCTGTACAAGAGGGCCAGGGCCGGGGCGGCAATTCCGTGCTTCTGCCCCACCAAGCAGGCACGAGTCTGCTGTAGCGGGCTGGAGATACAGGAGAGGGCCGCTGCAGCAGTGAGGGTATCATGAAACGATGGGCAGCCAGCAGGCCAAACCTTCGTAAGCTCGCAAACCAGGAGGTCTCACTCACCCCCTCCCCCATTTCCACCCCGAGACTTCATGGGTCAAAATTTCGTGCAGAAATCTCTTTCCTTCTACTGCTCTGTCTTCTGTTTGGCTCTGGGTTCTCTTTCCCACAGGACAGATTCCCATCCCTTAAGTACTGTGGGGTACCTCCCAAGGATGCTCCTTTGGATCTTGGGGCAGCTCTCTGATAGCTTCTGTGGCCACACATAAGTTGCTGAGGAATGGATGCTCTGTCCAGGGTCAGAGGTGAGCCCTGACAAGAGTGGCACCAGGTTCCTACAGTCCAGCACAGGGTGAGCAGGTGCACCCAGTGGAAAATGGCTGTCCGCCCCTGCCTCCCTGCTGCCTGCCTGATCCATAGGGGCTTTAAGAGTTGACCTAAGAAACAGACATCTTTTTCCACCCAGCAAGACGAGTGTAAGTCAGTGGCAAGCTGGAGCCTGCTGGTCCTAACCCGGGGCCTCAGTGGCCCCAGCAAAGGACAGCAAACCTGCCTCTAGCAGGTCCTGCCCAATTCATTATCTCCTCCTTGGTATGGGAGCCTGTGTTTCCCTCGCACCACTGTTTGGGTAAAATTATCTGAGAAGATGGAAGGCAGCCAACCACAACAACTCTGAGATTTCTCTAGCTTCTTGGATCCTAATCAGTCAGGCTTTAAGCTGAGGCTTGGCACTAGGCGTACATTGCTGCCTCGAGTTGATGACTTTCTGGGAATAAACAGAGGTCAGATGTCCAGGCTGACTTTAGATCTGCCAAAATCTTCTGATCCAATTGACAATAAAGCAGCAGTGATCTGGCTACAGGATTTGGCAGGGGATAGTATCATTATCTTCAAGTCCTTGGTCCTTAACGAGAAACTTCCAAGGCCCTAAGGAATATCTAGGACCATCATTATTCCTTAGCTGCTCGGGAAATATTTCGTATCTTAAGCCGAGACTGGAGATTCAGCTTTTGCTGTTAAAACTGTCTTTACTGTCTTCAACTGTGATCCTTCTCTCTTTGGCTTTTTTCTTTGAGGAGGGTACTGTGGGGAATTATCACAGCTGGAAAGGAACAGACCTACTTCTCTAGGGGTTAATGAGATGATAGCTGGAGTCACCACTCCTAGAAGTTGCCAAGGTTGAGACCATGGAATCACGGAGTTAGACGCAGCAGCAGCACGGACACGCTGGACACCGTGCTCAACACTGGTTCTCCATCGGAACTCAAGGATAACGGGGGTCTAGGATTAAGGGGTGGCTACAGAAGAGGCAGGAAAAGATGACTGAGAGCAGGAATACTGCAGGGCAGCACCTGGCACGGGACAGAAAAGTGGGTATCCAGTATGCCTTCAGCCCCCAAATTCCGCTTTCTCTGGAATCTATCCCAATTTACCTCTCCCCTGAGCTCCTCCTAGGAATCAGGAAATAACTGTCCCCCCCCCTATGTCCAAACCCTAGCCCCTCCCCCACTCACCCCAAAAGAGACCCAAACTATAGAAAAAAATGCTTTCTTTTCTGAGACCGTACACCCTTCCTTAGGAGTGCTGTAATCCAGTGTTTGCAAAATGGGGAGGGGGGGTGTCACTCAGCAGGGCTGCTTGACATAGTTAATCTTCCTCAGTTGCCATACTCGTGTCAGTCCCTACCCGTCACATGCCAACCTGATGCACAGATGTAAAGCTGGGTTAAGAACCCTACCTGCTGTCTTCCAGGGAAAACTAGGAACAGTATTTTAAGATCTTTATATAAAATGGCTTTTCTGTTTTTTTGCTTTAGATGCTAGGAAACACAGCTCCTTTGAATTTTGGAAGGAATTAATTTGTAGATGACATCATTCAGTATATTGAAATGTGGCAGGATTCACATTTTTTAAATCAGCATTTGCTTTTCTTGGTTAAATGCAGCCGTTTTTAGGGTAATAATTGCTTAATATGCCTGGCACATTACTGAAATCCCTTATGAGAGAGGCTCAAAATGAGTCAGAAGGTCAATTTATTCCTTGGCCAGGTTCCTTTCACAGCACGGGTTTTCCTGTGCTGCTGTTCAGGAGGAGCAATTAAGACTTTCTGTGTATTCAAAGCTTTCCAGCTGAATTCTGACCCCGTCAAATGATATCAGAGCTCTGGCTTGTGCCTGGTGGTACACAGCTTTCATCTGTCAGCGAAACTTTGGGGGCTTTTCTTTTCTGTCCCAAGCTCAAAAATTCGAGATCCAAACTCTACTGGATGCCCTACTTACTTCTCTGGCATCCCCTTTACTCCTTACCATCCCACTGGCTTTGTGCAGCTTTTAAGACACCCTTGCCTGCACTGTTTCCATGCCCTACACAGAAACCTAGAAATTCTTTACATTACTAAACTACTTTGAGAACTCAAAAGCCCTTGTTAAAATGTTTTTAATTCTTCCAGAGTGGTCTTGCCAACATTTGGTAGGTACAAACCACAGAAAGGTCAGTGGCTACCTAATTCCCACAGATCAGTGGCTTACACTGGAAACTTCCCAGTCCACATGATCTACACACTAGATAGCTACAGAATTTCAGGGTGGGAAGAATTTATAGCTCCAACTGCCTTTGATGGGTGCTTTCTCAGAAAATCGCACTTAAGAACTTAGGTAGTATATCTCAGTTCCCCTATTTGAGTTCCACTGAAGATGAGCCAGACTTTTATGAACCATAAATGTACTTTGCATCCTCCCTTTTTTTCCATAAAAATTTCCCCTTCCTCTGCCCAGGTTTTTTATTTTCTCTGGCTTTAAATCCTAGTGTTTATAAAAACAGAAAATGTTACAGTTCAAAAGGTATTTATTTTTTTTAATGCTCTGTCCAAAGCCACTGGTTTGAAAAGAGATGCTCTTCACATTTTTTTCTGTCAAACTGAAGAGGTTCAAGGAGACAGGCAAACAGAATTTTATTTCAGGGTGAGAGTTTAATGTAGATTCAAGCAGAGAAAAGACACTTCTCTTCTTTATTGCTGAGCTCGTTAGTAAAGAGCAGTGAGAGATGTTTAATAGTTAATGAGTAAAATGTTACCAAATTGTCAACTTCAGACATGGGAATTTTACACACCAAATGCTTATTCAAAGGAGGTTGTCCTAACAGTCTCCTGCAGAGCTTCTGTTGTACTCCTAAAAGTGCAGTTACTGCCACAGCTCAGAGGAAAAATAAAAAGCACTGTTTGGGACAAAATGGCTTTATTAGAGTACCTAAAGGCATAATGTGTAGATGTATCAAGGCAAAAACAGAAGGAATAATTTGTCATGGAAGTGCCATTGTGAGGGTTTGGCAACTAAAGACTCTTTATTTTTGGATCCCAGGTGGATGGAGTCCGGGAGAGACTGTCAGAGCAACAGTACAACAGACTTGTGGACTACATCACAAAGACATCTTGTCACCTGGCCCCCAGCTGCTCTTTCATGCAGACCCCATGCCCGGTGGTGGCTGTGGAACCTCTCCCCTCCACTGTGAAAACATACCATTATATGGTTGATCCACATTTTGCTCAAGTGTTCATTAGTAAATTTACCATGGTGAAAAATAAAGCCCTGAGGAAAGGGTTCCCTTGAGTCCCCTCTGAGGTGTTGTTGATCCCTGCTTGTGCAATTTATTCTTCTTGAAAAAGAAACCTAACTAGCCCTAACAACATCTAATATGGACACAAAGCCAATACTTTAATTATAGGTAATTTTCCAGCCTCTAATTCAGATTCTTCTCCCTAAAACTAAGAAAATACCTTAAAATGCAATGATAAAAAACTTGTTCCTTTCCGATTTGGAGACAGTGATTAAAAGAATCTCTATGTTGTCATCTCATCATACATAAGTTCTACCTTTTGCTCTCTAATGGTATTTGCTAAAATGTTTACTATAATTAAGATCTGTTAACTCTGCTCTGACAAAAAATGTGGTCAGGCCTTAGAATGGAGAGACTGGTTAAAACTTCATTCCCAACTGCATCTGTTTCTAGGCCGAGACATTGTCTTTGCCTAATACCCTTGTCTGCAAACCTTTGGAATCTTTAAATGCTTAGGAATTTGTCAATGTAAATTTATTACTTAAATGTGATGCTCTTCTTTAAGTGAAACCTGCTATGTATATTTCTACTTTAAAGCCTGCAGGTTACTGAAATTTACAAGACATTCTCATGATGGTCCCGGTACACTGTAGAAAAAATGTTTCACCAGTTTATCTTTTAGCAAGCAAGCTTATGTGTCTACCAATGAAAACAGACCCAAAGGGCTCAGGTGAGTTTCTCTAGTTCTGTAAAGAAAACCTACTACTAGGAATTCCCTATGACACTCTCTTGTGGAAAGGGTTTAGCAGAAGGATATTCATACTGCCCTGGAGTACTGCAGGGGAGTCAGGAACCCCAATGTTAACCTTAACAGTGAACCAATCCAAACAGTTTATTCTGAATTGCTCAAACACAAAATATTCCCAATGTCTGATATTATTTTTGCATTTAAGGATAGGTTTTTATCAAGATCTTGGGTCACCAGCTATCATCTTTAATATTCAGTAAAAATCTCACTCTGATTAAAACACATTTTTACTGATTACATCCAGACTTGGGTCTACAATCTATTATGTACAATTGTGAGATGCTAAGAAAATTCAATTTCAAATGGCCACTAATTTTTAATCAAGTCTCACTTGTCATCAGGGATGAGAAGTCACTGCGTAATTGTTTCTAGAAAGCAAGACCATTAATGAACAATTCAGGCTAAATATGAAAAACTGATTCTTCCATTAGTTTGTTGTGTCACACTCATTTAGGAAAAAGTGACAGCTTCGCCAACCTCGAGTAACTATTTTTAAGAATGTAAATATGTATTAATTATTATCTTTTATGGTCATTTTGCATACTACTTCTAAGAATTGTAATATAAATTGTTGAAAATAAAAGGAATCCTTGAATTACTGACCACACATAAATGTGTATTGTCACCAAGTGTTTTTCAAATGCAGGTTTTCGCCAATTCCTGGGTTTAATACAGCTCACATTATTAGGACCCAAGAATTTTGCATGAGTTAAAAAGGCTAAGAACAGTTTTTGTTATCCTAATAGTGCCAATCAGTGATAAAATTAGCTTAGGCTAAAATAATTTTTAAAGCTCTCTGTAGTATCACTTTGATCACAAGAAAAAGCATTAATTATTAATATAGGGGGTAAAGATCCTCCTAAGACCTCCCCCAAAATAAGTTCCCACATTCTTATCATTAACAGACACTACTCTAATAGAACAACTTTTTCTGGACTAGGTATATATTCCATATCCATAATATATACTATTATGGTATTTTTCTGGACCAGATACATATTCTAACTTACATACACATACTGTTAGCTCTTCAAAAGCAACTAGTATTTTAATTATCTATTATATCTGGTGGTTGATTCAGCAGGGCTACTCAACAGTGACAATGAAGCCCAAAAACATATTTTATTGAAAAGATGTTCTCTGTCCCTTCTAACAGCATAGAGTATAGTGGTCTTAGAGGCTCATGTAGACCCCTTAAATCCACCACCCAGGACCAAGAAAGTGCACCTACCAGTATTTCAGTGAAATAAACACCAGAGCAATGAAAAATATCCTGAAACAATGAAAGTTTTAAGAAATCTTAAAATCGTTATCATCCTAAGGTTCATAAAACACAGTTAAAATCTCCAACTCTTAAATTATCAGAATAATTAAAGACTTACTGTCCAAAGTATTTGTTAGTTGTTTATTTATCAAGACAAACTATTCCATAACCCAATATTCGTGTTTCATAGTTCAGGAACACAGGTCAGTGACAAGACTTCAATGGAACAAAACCCAAAGAAATTCT